GGTGGCACCCTACCCCCGTGCCCGCATACCCTCGTGCACCATGCGTCGATGGTGAACCATGTGGCCAAGCATGCAGCGACGGACCGTCTGGACAACCACCTCACAAAACTTCAGTTTAATCGTGCTCTTTTTCTTTTTTCGGCCATGTTTTCTAGGTGATGATAATCCTACAGCTACCATCGAGGCACCATCAGTACAAGTTACGACAGGAGGCACGGAGGAGACGGAACCGGCACCAGCATCAGCACCAGCAGAACCAGGAGCACCACCAACCACGGCAGCACCGGCGGTACCGTCCAATGCAGGTTCTACAGGCACATCCTCAGCAACAACCACAACATCTGCTGCAGCAACGACCCCGAACCCGAACCCAGATCAATCGGGCAGTAGTGGCAGTTTCAGTGATGCGGATTTGGCGGATGGAGTGTCTGGTGGGGAAGGAAAAGAAGGTGGTGATGGTACTGCCCAAGGCAGTGGAGGAGGTCAATCCTCTGGTCCCAGTTCTACTGGTGACCAAAACCCAGGTTCCTCAGGGCCGGGTTCTACTGCTGACCAAAACCCTGGTTCCTCAGGACCCGGATCCGAGCCTGCCATTACATTGTCGACTGGACAGACTACGTCGACTAAAGTGACTACTGAGATTACGTCCATCTCCCAGAATGATCAACCTGCACAGAACACACCAGGAGAAGGCGCAGTAGCTGGTGGTGGAATAACCTGGGATGACCTTATCCCCTATACCCCCGCGATCATTCCCGCGGTGGTTGGTATTGGCATCATTGCGTTCTTCCTATGGAAGGTAAGTATATACGGCAATCAAGGCATGCCGCATGTGCAGGATGTTTATACCTTAGCACATCCCGACGGGCTCCAATATATGATGTTTCTAACCAATATACTCCTACACCCGCGTTCATTCCTTTTATCCTACCTTCCCCACCCTGCTCTGTACCCCCTTTTTCTGCTTAGTACATTGCGTACCTCGCCAAACGACGACGAAAATACCGAACCGTTCGTGACGTGCCGTCACCTGCACTCGACGAAGAAATATTGCAGCATTTACAACGCGGCGAACTACCGCCACCCGATTACGGGTACACCATCGTTAGGGATAGGCAACCTGCGTCAATATCCGGTAGCGGCCGCCCGCCACGCGTGAATCGCGGCACCATCATCGAGCTACATTTAGAAGTGCTCAACGCATGTGAGGTGGCCAAATGGGATATGGTGAAAGAGGACTATTGCCACATACTTGTGCACGAGTTTGCACAGGAGTTGATGCGGGACGAGGCAACGAATAACAATATCTTGGGTGTTTCTACCTCAGACCATGGTTCTCCAAGGACCAATGTTTCCTCCACTGACTTCGACGGAACGGACGCATCTCCAGATGATGACCCCGATCCATGGAGTTGCATGGAAACCATACAGTTAGAAGAAGAGGGGACTCCTTCTCCCCCTCCATTCTCTTCCCCGGGGAATGAAACCCGGGGACCCGACCACATTAATTGGATTAACTGGATTGACCGCAACAAACATATTCTGCGGGAGTGCACGACACAGCCGTGGTTTTTGCAATTAAACGCGGATTGGAAACAATACTATCAACAACATGCGACAGACGACGTATGCGGGTACCGTGAACTCGGTGAGGCACCCACCCCGCCGATGCAGAAATTGGATCTGTGGAAAGAATGGGTTGCCCAACAACATCGGCAAATGAGTACATACAGTGAAGAGGAGTGGTTTCAACATTTGTTGCATACTGTAGAGGACCAGACAGTGCTGGCAACACGCGACATACCTCCAGCAGAAAAACACTTAGAAGTGGAAACACTAATGGCCGCAGAAGATATGCTAACAGTCAGGGCTGTTCCACGGACGGAACCACTGCATCCGCAACCTTACATGAAAAAACGGGTAACCGCTAAAATATGGATACTGATCCTGGCGGCCGTAATCGAACACTGCGAGCTCGAACGCAATTTGCAGCAGACGGAGTTATATGTAGATGACCTATTGCAGCAACTGTGACATTCGGATGACGGGGCATATGCATGGGCAAGAACGCATGCTAGCCGTACAACACTTTTATTTCATTATGTGATATACATAGTATATTTCTGGTTTGTACTATTCCATACCGTCTTTTTTTTTTTTTCTGCTCTGTTCTGCTCTCTTCTGCTTACTTGTGCGCACTTTTGCCTTGTTTTGTTCTTGTTACGTAGTCCACTTCTTTTAACATGACTATACGCTTCCGGTTGTAGAGGTTACATGCATAAAAAACGTAGATTTAAATGAATAATATGGACGGGTCGTATTCTCCTTTATGTGAAGTTAATTATTAACACATGAGCAAGTGCATTCTAAGGATATGGTGTAGCACTAATATAGCATGCGCATACGCATTCGAGTATAAGGAGAGATTGTCTCTCCGAGCACACGCGGTTCGACGACGTCACCGAGTGCACCAAACGCGGAGGGTTGTCTCTCCGAGCAAACGCGTCGACCCACGCGGCCGATTGTAACAACGATTCGACGAAGTAGGCGAGTGAAGCGATTCGACGACGTGCCCGAGCAAACGTGGCCGCTTGTAAGAAGGAGGAGAGATTGTCTCTCCGACCACACGCGGCCGCGTACACCGCATTGTCGTCGAGGTAGCCCAGCGTAACAACAATTCGACGACGTAGCCGCGTGTAAGAACTATTCGACGCAGTAGCCGAGTGTAAGACGGATTCGACGCAGTCGCCGCGTGTAAGAAAGGCGGAGAGATTGTCTCTCCGAGCCAACGCGGTTCGACGACGTAGCCGAGTGTAACACCGAGTCGACGAAGTAGCCGAGTAAGCATTGTGCCGAGGCTAAGACCGATTCGACGAAGTGGCCGCGTGCAAGAAGGCGGACCCATTGTCTCAGAGTAATTGCTTTGAGTGCACGATCCGCGGACGCAGCCTCGCACGGATCCAGACAGTGGGCGCAGGAAGGAACACACATATTTTGTGGGACGGCCAACAAGGATCGGCAAGGACGGCAACGATGGAAGCATTGATGTTGTTGTTATTACTGCGCGGTTTTGTTGTGTAAGCAGAGACAGTGTGTGTGTCCAGGCGTTTCGTGCACACCGGTGTAGAAAGGGCGCGGGGTGTTATTCATGACGCGTGTTGTGTGTACGGTAGTGTAGTGTAATTTTTTTTTTTTTTTTTTTTCTATTTTTTATTCCTTTTTTTTTCTAAATTCCTTTTTATTTAATTTTCTACAGATGTTTTGTTTTATGTTTTTCTTTCTGTGCTCCCTCCTGTTCTATTCCTGTTTTTTTTTTCCTTCCTCTTTCTCTATCTCTAATGGAAAATAAAGTTATGCTGGAGGGCTTAGTTCAGGAATGTGTTTTATTAGTATGCACAGTTAATGCACTGAGACAGGCACATGACAGTTTCGGATGAATATAGCCAGTTTAAGGCAGTGTTCTATGTGCAGTAGGAATTCAAATACACATTTATAATAATAAAGGCAAAATGGCAGAAAAATTAGGGCGCATGTTAGCAGATTATGCAAAGAACAGGGCAATGGGAGGACAGGATGGAACATATGAGGTAATTTTGTATGAGGGTACACTATATAAGACCTACAATGAATACTTAGCAGGGAGAACACACGGGAGAATGAAATGGAAGGAGGAATATATTAGAACTGTTAGCTCAGGTATAGCGGATAGAAAAATATTATACATTAGGAAGGAAAGCAAGATACACAGGTACACATATAATTTTCCTCTGCTGCAGAAAGGACTATGGGACGACATCCAAGGCATATTCGGCGAGCTCAAGCAGGCATTGGTAAACACGGAACACATAATGGATGGAGTATGTAACATAATGGCTGAGGACGAGGCAAAGACGCTACAGAGGCAGATGGTACGGCTTATATGCAAGCACATTATAAGAATAATTTTTTTTGCAAACAGAATAAGTTTCAAGGACGGTCACATGGAAGTAAAGAAAGATTCTGCCCCGGACGGCGATCTGCGGGACTATTTAAGATGTATGGTGGGAAATGTTGCTGCAATAACATTGTACAGCGGAAGCTGCAACACAAGAAAGACTGTACGCAAGATAATTCATAAAGTGAACGAGATTGGTCAGGAAGACGGAACTGCATATCCCCGTGCAGTGTGCGCAGGACTGGATTATGATACATTAAAAATAGGCTCAAAATTTTTTGCAACAACCATGGGCGATTGGATACGAACATGGGGAAAAAGGAACGGAGGACAAATAAGTACACGCGGAGTGGACAGTTCCTGTGATATAGGAAATCACAGTAATACAAGCAAGGATAGGGAGCAAGAGGGTAGCGAGGAGCCCATAGTTAAAATGTTTCAGGATAATACTGCTAAAGAAGTAAGGGACATGATTGGTAGGGGTGACAACATTGAAGAACAGAAACGGAACCAGATAATGAAAGAACTTAGGGAAAAAGGGACCGAGGGTGATGAATGGAACAAACTGATGCAGACGATAGGTAGGACCGATGGGGAGAAAGCACGAATACGGCACTCACACGAACACGAATACCGACCGTACTGCCGCATACTAACAAGGCCGGCACGGACACGAGCGCCACCAACACGACTGCGCATACGGATGCCGCCACCACCACAACGCACACGCGGCACATCTACACTGCCCCACGTCGGTTGAACGATGAGCACAGCGGCGACCACCATGGTAGTGATAGCGCCGTCACCGTGGTGCGTGGGCTGCATCGGCGACGACGGATGCAGCAACGACCATGACGGGAGCCACGCTGGCGGACGCTGGACTAGAGGACGGCGACAAATAAAACTTGTACTGCTACCATCCATCCCGACCCAGTCGACCGAGTTCACCTCACCGTACGCGTGCTGCCGCCTGACCCAGTCCATCGCAGTCCATCTCGACCCACTGCATCGACCCATGCAGCGGACCTACCCTGCCGCTACCTGACCCGACCGTACCACACCACAGCGTGCCGCCCCCTTCTTTCTGTACCACTTGTGTCCCTTTTTGTTTTTATCATCTTTTCGACCATCTTTCTGCCGTTCTCCTTTTTGCAGGCGCTGGAGGACCGGCGGCCCCCAAGCCGGCGGCTACCAAACCAGCAACCACAAAACCGGTAGAAGCACCACCCGCAGGAAGATCAGAGGAAGCTGGGGACCCACCGCAAGGACCCGTACCAGCACACGCATCAGCCGCACCGGCCGCAGGGACAGGTGGGCAACAACCCCCACCACCTCCACCACGGAGACCATCCACACCAACACACGGACCACAAGGAGAAGTGGGCATAGCAGCAGGTGGACCTGGATCAGTCCGGGACCCGCCCCCAGTAAAGGGCACCGGGCGGGGGCCCATACTGCAGACGAGGACACCATCAAGGCCGAACCTAACTCCTCCCCAGCAGCCCCCCACAACAGAGCCCCCCCCAGGGAACGGAGCCAGCAACCGTGCAAAACCAGTAGCGGCGAAACCGGGACCAGCGGTGACACCGGGGGCGACGGCATCATCGGGTGCTGGTGGGGGTGGTAAGGGTGGTACGCCTAGTACGGGAGTTGCCGTGGGAGGTCAGCACGAGAACGGGAAGATGGCGGACACCGCGGACAAAGAGTGTGATGCAGACAGAATACTGCAGCAAGGGCGTCACGCGGTGTACGTGGTGCCCCCACGTGATGTAAGTTAGATTACACAGCCAGTGCCGCGATGGGCAGGACACAGGAATCAATATAAGAGGACTTTGTTGATACGGGCACTTACACATACATGTGAGAATGTATATGTATTTATGTGCAACCATATAGGTAACATGTCCCCATGGGCACTTTTTTAATGTTCATGTGCAACACGTAGGATACACAATGGGAAAAGTGGAAACAAGTGTTGCAGGAATTTACGGAATATATGCAGGACCACAACGACCTCAATGAAGCATATGGTGCAAATTGTTATAATAGTGGTTGGAATGATTTCGGCAAGGGCAATGAGAGTCATACGCAACAAAGAGTAGCAGATGTCGTACGGTGCAGAGTTATGAGCGTTGCATGGGCATTTGCAAATTGGTCGAATACGGCTGCACAAGACACGAAGCACGGGGTCAAAATGGAGAAGGAAGAACAGGACATGTTCAGGTGTGAAGTGGTAAATATCTTTGGACATTTACTGAAGGAGAAGTATTGTTCAGAGCAAAAAGGATACAAGAGGGGCGTAGAGTATTCCCGGATAGTATTCAAGAGTATGAAGAGCGATGGAGCAGGTGGAATTGGAGTACTGGATGGTCCTGTTATACAAGGCAAGTGTACTGCGTGTGGGTATGAAAAGCATAACAGGTTGGCACACGCAATAAATTTGAAAGTAGTACAGTGGCTCATGGACGAAGGAAAGATAAGTTCTGAAATAGCACAAATGGAGATGGCGATGCCCTGTCGGGAGCTCTGGAAAAAGTATATTAATGAGCTGGACTCCCGGCACAACCCTACTACGGACGGGGACAGAGACTTGACCAGTATCAAAGAACGTTTGAGCACAGACGGGAGGAAGAAGCTAGAGACAGCAGAGAAGGACATGGAGGGAGAAGTGAAAAAGATAATTAAGAAAGTGCACGAATCAAAGGACGACATAATGAAGGCCGCCAAGGCGGGGTATGAGGAAGTGCAGCAGAACGCACAACAGGAAATTGCGGACGGTAAGGCTACGCCCATACGGCCGAATACGCATGCCAACGGATGGCACGACTACGCGGCGCGCATGTACACAGTACGAATAGTACGGATGCCGCCACGGCTACAACACGCACTCGCGGGCGCAACAGCACAGCACGGCACCCTGCTTCGTTGAGCGATGAGCACAGCGGCGGCCACGAAGGCAACTGTAGCGGTGACGAGGACAGGACGAGGGATGGAGCCGGACGAGGGATAGTGCATGTAGACATTAAGCACGCAGGCATCCAGGACGGAATAGAAGGACCTGTGCGGACATGGGAAGTCTGTGTGCATTGCACGCAGGCATACCTTACCTCTGCTCTCCTCATGTTGTTATCTGATGCACGGGAGAATGCACGTACAATCCTAATAATTATTATCCTTTTATAGAGAAAAAAGTTCCAGTGCCTGCACCCCAGAAACCAGAAGTACCACCAGCTACAGTACCAGCAGTCACAAAGACGCCTGTGCCTGAGGACACGGTGTCAGTACCCAAAGCTGCACCGGAAGCACAGGCACCATCCGTAGCAAAAGGAGGAAGGTCTGACACACCACCAGCGGATGCTTCTGCGGGCACACAAAAGGGGAAAGACGCGGAAACAGCAGGTAAATGCACGAGAGAACCCAAGGTATTTACACATAGCAACACCCGATTCGGCCTCAACGGAGCCAGCGCAACCATCACCCTTTCCATTGCATCCAGCTCGGAAAACGCTGATGACTG